CTGGTAAGTGCAAGGTCCTGGGTTCGATCCCTGGTACTGCTAAAAAGAAAAGAAAATGAACCTGAATCCCAGTAGCAAGATGTCTGGCGTAGGGAGGTAAGTGTATGAATTTGGCAAATCCTTCCTCGGTCCTAGGCCCCGTCCTGGGATCTCCTGCCCTCCCTTCCTCTTCCTGATGGGGATTTCTCCCAGAGCAGCTCCCCTGGTGCCTCCTGGCATGCTACTTCCTGCTGGGCATCCAGAAGTCTACCCTCCACCCTGAACAAGGAACAGGGTGAGCAGGGCTTTATTTCTTCTTATTTCTCTTCCCTAAGGGAATTGCTTTTTGCCTCAGCTTCTTTTTACATGTTCTTTTCTAAACTTTCAATGGTCAGCAAGCCCTGGGTCTCTGATTGGCAGGCAGGGAAAGAAGGCGACAAGCCTTGCTGCCCCCCAGGGATGGGGGTTGGCAGGCACCTTCTGCACCCCTCCCAGGCTCAACGCCACAGCACAGAACTGTGTACACATGTACGCAGGCAGGGCGGGCAAGGACTCAGACCAGAGGGCTCTCAGCAGCTCTCCCCCCGGGGTGACCGGACAAACGAGGGTGATCTTTGTGCAGAAGGAAGACCACTCGCAGTACATACCAAAGCGACACATGCAACCATGTGGTTGTGTCTCAAGCGTGCTCATCAGAGGAAGCCGAGGGGTGCCGGAGAGCAGCACCGTTTGATTCCATTTAGATGCAATTCCAGCACAGCGCGGGCAGAAACAGCAGAAGTGATGAAAAGAGTAGTGGACGGGGTGAGGAGGTGAGCACTCCTGAGGCGGAGGGGCTCGGGCCACTTGCCCGACGCTGATCAGATGCAGTGGGGGGCATCATGCCTGTTGAGGAGACCTGCAGGTGTACTGGATGCAAGCTCTCTCTCTCTCTCTCTCTCTCTCTCTCTCTCTCTGTCTCTCTCTGCCTCTCTGTCTCGCTCTCTCTCTGTCTCGCTCTCTCTCCCTCCCTCTCTCCCTTTCCGTCTCCTTTTCCCTCTCCCTGTCCCTCACCCTCTCCCTCTCTTTCTCTTTCTCTCCACTCCTTCCTCTCTGTGCTGCTGGGATAGGACCCAAGGCCTTGAGCTTGCTAATCAAGCGCTTAACCACTAAGATCCCCCCTGCCTTACACATATTTTTTAAAAAATAAAATAAAAACTATAAGAATCTCAGAATCCCATTGTATGGACCTTTGACTACCAGTATTTTGCCTAAGAACTAGTCGAAGAACTAGAAATAGCAATTAGAATAGGGTGAGGCTAGAATCCCTCAGCGCAGACCCTCCCAGGATGAAGGAGGACCAAGGAGACATCTGCTGTCCCCAAGTTGACCTCAGGTCCCAGGGGGCCCTTGTTGATCTAAATAGCTTTATTCTGAGTCTCTGTCTCCACAGATTTAGTTCCTCTGTGGCTGTGTGTGTGCGTGGGGGGTGTTGATTAACATTAGCCAATTGGTCCTCAGCTGAACAAGGTGTGTATTCTAATGTCATGGCCTATAGACACACCATCTGGCTACCACAAAATGGTAATATAGCCTCCAATGTGACACTACCCTAAGATTATTTCCCCAGTGGCATTTGTTTTTGATGGGGTCTCACTGTGCAGCTTAGACTTGTAGTGATCCTCCTGTTTTCAGGCTCCCAGTAATAGAATTACAGGCATGTGCCACCACACTCTGACTTGGTGGCCTGCTCAGCGCACCCAGGAGGTGGAGCCAGCATGGCATGTGGGGCTGGGGATCAAACCCCATTCCCCATGCTTGCCCAAGCAGGCACTTAGTCCACTCGCCGGGGTGGTATTTTGGGGTTTTTTTGCCTCATACGCCGATTTTGGAAACCAATCCTTGATTCAGATGTGGCTACCACAAAAACATCAAATCATTTAAAATAATAACATTATTTTGCTTATTTCTTTGACCCCCAAATCCACTCTCAGACTGGACCCTGTGGGTGGCGACTCGGCTTAAGAGTTTCCTTCCATCCCTACACCCTGGACCTCTCCTTTAGGAGGGGATGGGGAAAAACAGGGAAGTGTGCCCAGCCCCCACCCACAAGTGGCAGGTGTCGCTGTGACATTCACAGGCCCTGCTGACCCACTTGCTTTTCTCACTAATGATATGTGCATTAGTATCGATGCAGCTCCTTCCTGGGGAGTGTTTGTACACTTGCACCAGCCTGATAAGTAAAATCATCCAACACTGGAAAGAAGGCAAATAGATAACTGGTGTCCTTTCAAAGTCAAGTTTGTGCTGTCTCTAATGAGCCCTCTTAAGGGTCATCTGACACTCTGGGGGAATGTGACTTTTTTTTTAGCCTTTAAAAAACCCTTCTCTGACCCTCAGTTTCCTTATCTTTGAAAATGCTGGGGATATAGCTCAGTGTGTATTTCATGGAGGTAAAATTTATAATTGGTCAAAATGTGCAGAATTTAAATATGCCGTGGGGCTGGTAAGATGGCTCAGTGGTCTAAAGCA